ACAATGCAACATTAGAAACACATTTACAGTTTGGTCACAACAAATGGGAATTATTTGCAAAGCAATTCCCCTCACCAGTAATCAACAGGATATTACAGGGACAATTTAGTAGTGCAGTTCTGCCATTGGTATCCGGTAAGGAGTGTACACACTACATTTGGCAATATCTATGTAACAACTTGTGTTTCTGTTCGAGATTTCATCACACACAATACAAGACCGTATTGCAAACCTAGTAAGATTAACCAGAATTAATTCTGGGTAAAAGCGGGACAGCAAGTCTCTGGACAACATGAACGAAAGGGCTTAAAGGCCTCCTCTATCACACTGAGCTCCTTAAAAATGTCCACGACTGATTAAAAAAAAATAAAATAAATATATCACATTGATTTTTACATTCAGTAACATTTCAGTTGTTTTGCTATTTTTTTGCCATTTTTTCCTCTCAACACACAGCGGCTTTTCCATCAGATCAGTAAGGAAGAGGCTTCGTTAGTCGTGGGTTAGAGGCTCCGTCAGCCACGAATGTCTCGTTAATCTAGAACCAAACACACAGTCTGTTAATAATTTATAACAAGACTCCAGTTTACAAGCTTAATTTTCATGCACAGTCACGACATCACTGTTACGACAAGGATGTTAAAAACAAAAGGATATTTCTAGGTTTGCTCTTCTTCAGTTATAGGAAACCTAGAGGAAGGATTATAATTTAATCTGAAATCTAAACCACACACACCACAAAGCAGCGATAAGATGAAACAGGCTAACAAGACTACTTTAAGGTACCTGTGTGGAGTAATGTGTTCCTTAAAGCAGTGATCATCTATAACAAATAAATAAAACTAAGCTCTTCATAGTGATGAACCCACAGATAATTATTACCCGACTCTACCTTACATTCAGCTCCATGTTTGGTTTTACAGCCTGCATCTCTGTTGTTTAAGTTTAATCTTGTAGCTCAAAGCTTGTCAAAAGAAGATTTTTTTACATACATGTACATTTACAAGTACTTTTTTTGTCAAATAGCCAGGAATAATGAGAAAATGGACTGATTTCTGTTACCTCTCCCTTAATTACATGGACCAACCGTACTTACACGAGTGGTCTCATAGCCCATACTGATCCCTGTGCTCACAGGCAGCCATTTTTAGTTTCAATACTGGAGTTAGCACTATAACACAAGTTGGACGCTTTCAACTTCTGAAGGAAAGGTATAACACTTTAGCTGCCAGAGACAGTCTCTAATACAGGGGCGGGCAATATGAAAAACTGGGCTTGGTGTAGAGGACCACTCCAATAAAAGCTAATTACATGCCCTAACTAACTGCCTGCTTACCTTTTGTAGCTGGGAAACAAAAAATTGTTACAATTATTAACTCTTCAGTTTCAGTACAAAATCAGCCACTGCCATCCAGCAGTTGTTGTCATCTTCTTTGCAGAAAAGACTGTTGGCAGTAAACATCACTGAGACCGATGATTAGCAGATAAAGTGGCTGTTTTTTTAGAGCCTTTTGCTCAAAGGGCCACTTGCTGTGACCAAAAACAATGCTGATGACAACAAATGCTTACTACTAAAAAAAATTCAACCATTAAAAACTTTAATGCTCCGTGGAGTTGAAGGAAACTGTATAGTCAGGTGGTAGTTTTGTGTGGGTTCATTCCTTTTTACATACAAGCGCTTAAATATGAGTAAATGATTAAAAATATTTATAGAAGCTCATCTCAGATGAACTTCATGTGATATTTAATACATAGAAATGTCCTCCATTGTGACATGAGCTCATCACTCACTTGAAAGCGCCTCCACCTCTCTGGCTTTTGACAAACCCACTCCAGAGTTTTGTTTGGGCTGGGCTCCCAGCTCCTCTGCCTCCTTGGACGAATTCCGGTTCTCATCTACAGGTTTCTTCTCCTTCGCCTCCTCTGGATTGTAGTGCCCACCCTCTTTTGCCACCATCTTCTCCACCTTCTCTATTAAGTGTCCCACTTGGGGATTCTCCCCAAAAATGCAGTTGTTAATAAGAAAGTACCTCCGCTTACATTTCTCCAGCAACCACTGCAGATCTTTACCCTCCCTACGAATGTACCTCTCGATGGAGATTTTCTTCAACACATCCGCCCAGGTGAACACCACAATTGTATGCCTCCACACATCCTCCCCAAAGAGGCTCACGTGTTCCTCAATGCGAGCACGGTCCACCTCGGTGAACATGCCAAC